GCTCTGCATGGCCCCGTCTCCACAGCTGCCTCGGCTGCTCCTGGTGAGCGTGCCTGCCATGCACAGACGGTTCATTCATATTTTATCACGGGCCCTCTGTGCCAAGAGGAGTTCGGTTTGGAGAGAGCTGGGAATGTAGAGGGAGAGAGGCCGAGGTGGAGAGAGGGAAAGTGAGGGCCAGGGCGAAGATCATAGAAGACAGGGCCAGGGCCAGGGAGGGAAGGGGGGCAGGCGGAAAGGAAGCACTGAGAAGGGGAAACAACAAGGGGGCGGCGGAGGAAGGTGACTGCGTGGAAAAGAGAATTTAGGCAGAAGAGAGACCATGAGGTACGGTAGGAGGGAGGTCCAGACAGAGAAATGACATGCAGAAAAGAAATGGCCAGTCGAGAGCTCAGCGTAAGAGACTGACATGTGGAAAGAACGGGAAGAAAAGAAGGAAGCGGCTTCACCTGTTCCGTGAGCAGGAAAAGACGTGGAAGTGCATGGGTGTCTCAGTTTCCTTAGTGCTCAGAGGCCACACGAGGAGGACCGTCCTGGCCCAGTGGAGTAAGAGCTGCGGAATGTCACACGGGGAAGTACGGAGGGGACTGAGCAACCACGGAGCACACGGAGAGGGGAAATAACAGACGTGTTGCCACTTGAGTGCAGTGTGTGTGGGGGGGTGGGCTGTCAACTCTCCTGCACCCTCTCCTGTCCGCCCTCTCTCTCCCTGCACCTCCCCACCCCCAGGCTGAGATACCCAGGGAAGAGTAAAGGAGCAGAACACACAGGGTAGCCAGGAGGGATGGAACTCCCAGCCCATCTGCTGGGTCTGAGAATGGAATCCATAAACTCCCCTCTCCCTCCAGTGCAACACGGCAATTGGTCATGGCTCTCCTGGAGGCGCAGCCAGGTGGGTGGTGGCCTCTGCTACTCCCCGAGGCTGTACCTGGTCAGGACTGGAAGGTGAGAGGCAGGAGGGTCCCAAGCCAGGCAGTGCCCTGAGCTACAGGCTCTTCTAGGCGGGGAAGGCTTCCAAGCTGGCAGGATGGAATTAGATTTCACAGCGCAGAAAGCAGCTCGCAGGTCTATAAATCTCAGCCTCCTCCCCCGCTTCTTTCTGCGTGCGTGCGTGCGTGTGTGTGTGTGTGTTTCCCACTTTCACTGTTTTGTTTTCTTGGCTGCAGAAATCCCCCCTCCTTTCTTCCTCCTTGTCTTTCTCCCTCCTTCCTTTCCCTGCCCTGTCTGTCCTTGAGTAAGGGCTTAGCAGTCAGGTAGATTTCAGGGCTGAGATGGTCAAGCACAGCCAGGGCAGCCCCCAGAGGGAATGGAGGGCAGGCAGGGGGCACCCTCAGGCCAGCCTCTCTGGGGATTTGTGACTTTACCTCTTCCTCCTCTATTTTCATTTTTCTCTTTATTGTTGTTATTATTTTTTCTCATTCCTTCTCTTGCTCAGTTTTTCCACCTTGTCATCTTCCTCCTCCAACCCCTTTTGACAAAACACTTACTACCTAGCTACGTTTCTTCTAAGAGCAAACCGTATAGGACTATGACAGGTGGAGTGTCAGAGGCATGCCCCATCCGTAAGCCGCCCTATGGTAGCGACCCCACGTGCATAGCCCCGTGCACACAGTATTTGCCCGGCACTTCCATAGGAGTCCCAGAGAAACAAGGCAGCTGGCCATTGAAGACTGTGCGAGGTGCCCCCTTCTTCCTACTCTCTGTTTACTATTCTTGGCCAAAGAAGGTTCATTGACCAGGTTCCATTAAGCGTGGCCGGCTAACAGGCGATTCTTTTTACGTTCGTAGCTGGTGGATGACTATGTGGCCTCTGAGGGTGCAGTACAGCGAGTGCTGGTCCCTGCTTACGCCAAGCAGCTCTCACCAGCCACACAACTGGCCATCCAGCGGGCAGCCTCAGAGACAGGGCCAGACAATGGAACCAAGCTGCCACCACCCCGCCCCGAGGACATGCTCAGTGCCGCTGCTGCGTTGGAGAGCGCCTTGGAAGAGTCCGGCCCCGGGAGCACTGCGGAGTTGAGGCACTCCCTCGGGTTTACTGCTTCCCCGTGCCGGACCAGAGGAAATGGGCAGAAGAACTCCAGGCGCAAGCGGGACCTGGTGCTCTCTGTGAGTGAGCTCCACCTCTCTGAATTTTCCTTTAGTCTGGTGAGATCAGTAGAGTGAAGAGTGGGGTGATTTTAAGCCTCCCATATTGAGTGAATTTTGTTGGAGTGGGGGAACCAGGAGACAGATTATCACATAGCCTTAGGATAAGCAGTCTCCCAGCTATCAGTCCAGCTGTTAGGCTTTTCCAGATAGCTTGCTCTGGTCCTTTGAAAGAGAAAGGAATGAAATCACGTCTCCCGGTGTCCTAATAATCCTGATGGGAAGATCTTTATGAGGCTGAACAGATTGATCACCAAACGAAACACTGAAATCTGCCTGCAGATTGAGCCATTGCGCAGGGTTAAATGGCCAGGGACCCCTTGTGTGGAAAAGCCAAGCTGTCCTGAGGTGGTCCCAGAACCCAAAGATGCAAAACACAGCTCAGTTATAGAGGTGTAGAGAGTCTAGTCATTCTGAGAGCTCTTGGTAGGGAAGGGACTGGCCTGAACCAGGTCTATCTGAAACCATTTTGGAGTGTGGGAGCCCTGGCAAAATTCTGCTGAGCTGGGGGCCCCCATCCTGGCAGCTGTCCCAAACCTAGAGCTTTCTCTCGCAGGACAGTAGCTCTCAACATGGGGAGATTTTGCCACCAAGGGACATCTGGAAACCTCTGGAGACTTTCCTGTCTTGTTATTACCAGTGGGTAGGTGGGAGAGGGAGGGAGAATGCTACTGACATCTAGTGGGTAGAGGCCAGGCATCCTGCTAAACATTCTACAGTGCACACGGCAGCTCCCCATAACAGAAATGATCAGGTGGGCCAGCCAGTGGCTCAGTGGTTGAGGTGGCTACATTCCACATGGCCAACTGTGCAGTTTCAGTCCTGGACTCTGCAGCTTGAAAGAAACGCTGGGTTGCATGTGTGTGCCTAAAATCCTGAGAGGAGATTTTTTTAGGGGCCAGCAGGTGACGTGGTGAATAAAGGCGCTGGACACTCACATGGCTGACCACAGTTCGAGTCCTGGACCTGGTGGCTTGCTTTCTCACTTTCCCTTTCTCTCTTTCTCACTGTCTCTGTCTGGTCAAATTAAAGAAATAATAATAACAAATGGAACTAAGTAAATAAATAATTCTTTTAAAAAAGGAATTATTACATTTTTAAAATTTATTATTACTTTAAAATTATTACAGGCATTGTCCTCCAGTGGTAGCTTGAAATTTCATTTTCTTAGCTGATTTTCTGAAAAGCATATATTTTAACTTTTTTCTCAGCACATGAAAAGTCTAAGGAATCTGGGGCCAGAAGATGGTGTGGTGGATAACGTGTGGAACTCCCATGTGGTCAACCACAGTTCGAGTCCTGGTCCCAGGGGCTTGAAAATCATGTTGGGTGCATGTGCATCCATGCCCAAAGTCCCAGAAGGAGAATGGAGGAGAAGAAACTGTGGCATGGCCATCTCTCTCTGTCTCTCTCTGGCAAGCACATGCCCACTATATCCAAAAAAAAATCCTAAAACAATAAAAACTAAGAAATTCATAAATAGCCTATTATATATAATGAGTGAACTTAGCAAGATCTCTCAGAATACATTGCCAATGTGCAAAAACTGATTACATTTATATATATTAGCAACAAATATCAGAAAATAAAAATGTTAATTATACTGTGTATGAGAACATCAAAAATATCTAATATTTAGAGATAAACTTCACAAAAAATACAGAAGATGTTGATAATGAAAACTACAAAATTGTTGAAAGAAATTAAAATTTAAAATAATGAGGGATACCTTTAGTCATGGATTGAAAAACCTCATTATTTTTAAGATATTCCTTTTTTCCAAATTAGTGTAATAGATTCAATGCAAATGTTATCAAATTCCAACAGGATTTTTTTTAATTGCAAGATGATTCTAATTTTTAAATGGAAACAGTCATAAAATAGTTAAATCACATTTAAAAAATATTGAGTTACTAGTATTTCCATCTTTACTAATTTTATTCATAAAAATTCCCATGAGTGTGACAACTCTGAAACAGTATTCTTTGGTTAAAATTAATTTAAAACTATCTTACAGAGACTACAGAGCTATGTTCTTTAGCAGCAGAAGAATTTGCATAGAATTTCAGGCAGCCTGTAAGTGTCAATTATATAACTAAGGGTGATTTGGGTGAAGCCAATTGATAATGATAAACTTTGTCATTTCCAAAGTTTAGATTCTGTTTTATATTTTTTAAAGAATTATTTTATTTAACTTTATTTTATTTTGACCAGAGAGGGACAGAGAGAGAGAGAGAGGGGAAGTGAGAAAGCAAGCCACCAGGTCCTGGACTTGAGCCGCAGTCAGCCATATGGGTGACCAGCGCTCTTAATCACCATGCCACCTGCCAGCCATCCAACCTCGTGTGGGTTTTAAGTCACAGGACTCAGACCATGGTCGACTACATGGGAGTTCAGCAATGTAACCATTATGCCATCTGGTGGTCCCTAGATTTATTTTTTTGAAAAAGCAAGAAAGGAGTGAGAAAATTTCTTTTAGAAAAACAAGGGATGGGACCAGCAGATGGTGTAATGGCTACGTCTCTGGACTCCCATGTAGTCAACCGTGGTTCAAGTCCCAGATCCGGTGGCTTAAACTCACACCGGGCGTGTGTGTGTGTATGCCCAAGATCCCAAGTGGAGAATGGAGAAGGGATTGTGACATGACCATGCCTCCTGGGAGGTGATTTCTTGCTTTTTGTCTCTCTGTTTTTCTCTGTCTTTCTGGCGAGTGCACGTGCTCTATAGCAAAAACCTCTCCAAAAAAAAAAAAAAGAAGAAAGAAAAGAAAAAAGAAAAATAAAGGATGAGTTTAGTTTCTCTGTCAAGAATTTGTGGTCCAAAAGGACCACTCTTACTGCTAGTAATAGAAATGGAAGCACATGTATCTAGAAATTCATTTCAAGGGGTTTTCCAAAACTTCATAGTACTTAACTCATAAATAAATGTGTGATAATTGTAATTTACACAAAATATTTGCATAAAATCAGGATTTTCCATCACTTGCATTCTACTCTTGCCTACTGCCTCCAGAGAGAGGGACATGACTGAAGGCCACGTCTTCGTCCCCTTAAGAGAGCTCAGTGGAACTGGGAGCCGAGTGTGCTCACTCCTCATGCCTCTCCTACAGCACTCGAAAAGAATGTAGACGAGCAGTCAGGAGTGCTGCTGCCCGTCACAGGGGAAGGGCTAAAATGTCCTTGTGCCAGACCATGGAGGTCAAGGAGGACAGACCATGGAGGTCAAGGAGGACAGACCATTGCAGACCCTCACTATTCTCATTTTTAGCTCCAGGAAGGAATCAAAGAGACATCTGGCCATCCCCTGGGGCTCCTCTGGATTACTGCTAGGGATCCTGTGAACCAAAAGGACCAAACCCAAACTCTTCATTCCTTGGAATGCCTCTGGGCCCCCTTAGGGTAACGTGTTTATTTTTAGCTCACTCAGGAGGCAGGTGAGCCAGCAGCCTTTGCAGCCTTAACACTTACTATTGTCTAGAGTATTTTCCCTTTTCACTTCAAGCCTGGTTTGATTTTTATCAGCTGATCTTTTCCAAGCCACTTGACTTGCAAGCTATGCAACTCCTTTTTTTCCCTGAAACTCTCCCAAATTCTTTCTGAAGCATTCACACATTCCTTGATGATTCCTTTTTTTTTGGAGAGGTTTTTGCTATAGGGCACGTGGGCTTGCCAGAAACACAGAGAGAGACAGAGAGACAGCGAGAAATCACCCCCTAGGGGGGATGGCCATGCCGCAATCCCTTCTCCTCCATTCTACTCTCAGGATCTTGGGCACTCACGCACATGCGCCCGGCTTGAGTTTAAGCCACCGGGTCCAGGACTTGAACTGCAGTAGACTACATGGGAGTTCAGCGACATAGCCATTACACTAACTGCTGGTCCCTCCTTGATGATTCTTACGTTTGGACTCCTAAGAGGTAAAATGACTATGTAGAATATGAAGCTAGGATAATAACTGCTTTTCTAAAGTAGAGACCCTGGTCATCCAGACCTAGTGGTACTTTCAGTCAGTCAGCCATGGAGGTGGAGAGATAATTGGGGATTTCTGAGCATGGTGTTGAAGCCCTTAGACCAGGATATGAATCTGTCCGTTTAGGACTGGGTCCTTCCACTGACTGAAGGGGTTTGGGATGAGAATACAATCAGAAACAACAAAACCAAATTTAATAGAAAGAAATACAAAAACCTGCATTAAAGTTTAGAAAACCAGTTGCAGAATGGAGGAGACAGTGATCTGTGAGAAACGGACTTGACTACAAGCTCACTGGGAATAAACCGACACTGAATGAGTCGGGTTGAGGTTCCTAAGGAAGGTAACACCATCTTGGGTTTCTTTCCAGAAGTATAAAGTTCCACTCGGGTAAATAATGCTCCCTTTGGAGAGACCTCAGCTGCTGAGTTCCAGTCAGTTCTGGGTGCCACATTTTTTTTTTTTTTTACTATTTATTCATTTATTTATTTTTATTTATATATTTTTAGAGGTTTTTCCTACAGTGCACGTGCGCTCGCCAGAAAGACAGAGACAGACAAAGAGAAAGCGAGAAATCACCCCCCCAGTGGGGGAGGCCTCCATTCTCCTCTCGGATCTTGGGCACCATGCACACGCGCCCAGCGTAAGTTTAAGCTGCCGGGTCCAGGATTCAAACCATGATTGACTGCATGGGAGTCTAGCAACATAGCCATTATGTTAACTGCTGGTCCCCATTCATTTATTCACTGACAGAGAGAGAGAAGGAAAGTGAAAAAGCAAGCCACCGGGTCTGGGACTTGAACTGTGGTCAGCCATGTGGGAGTGTCCTACACCTTAACCATTACACCACCGGTTGGACCCCTGGTTGCCACTTTTTAAGAAGGACATGCCAAACCGGAGAGCCTTAAGGTTTAATTCTTTCTGGAAACTGTGTTATAAGAAATGGCTGAAGGACTTGGTGGTGTTTAGACCAGATAAGAGAGGCCTTGAGGGCTCACCTGCCCTGCTGGTTAAGGTATGTAGAACCCACATAGCTAACTACTGGATTCAAATTCCAGCCTGGAAGCTTGAAAAACACTCCAGGTGTTGGGGACCAGCAGTTGGTATAATGGCTATGTCGCTGGACCTTCATGTAGTCAACCACGGTTCGAGTCCCGGACCCAGTGGCTTAAAGTCCTATAGAAAAAAAAAAATCTCAAAAAAAAGAAAGAAAGGGACCAGCAGTTAGCGTAATGACTTTGTCGCTGGACTCCCATGTAGTCGACCGGGGTTCGAGTCACAAACCTGGTGGCTTAAACTCACGCCGGACACGAGTGCATGTGTGCCCAATCTCCCGAGAGGAGATTGGAGGAGAGGGGATTGCGGCCATCCCCCTGGGGGGATGACTTCTCGTTTTCTGTCTCTCTCTGTCTTCCTGGCAAGCGCATGCGCCCTATAGCAAAAACCTCTCCAAAGAAAAGAAAAGAAAAGAAAGAAAAACACTCCAGGTGCATGTGTGCCCAAAATCTAGACAGGATGGAGAAATGAAGAAGGAATTTCGGTGTGACGACACCCCATTGAGGGGTACTTTCTCTCTGCTCTGCTCTCTATCTCTCTCTAGTGCATGCACATGCTTTGTGGCAAAATAAATTGAAAAGGGTGAGAAGACTTGAGGATGACGAAAGCTGGCTACAATATTTCAGGTGCTATTATGGGCAAAACTGGAATCAAATTTTGGAGCAACTAAGGCAGAATTGTGTGTGCTTACCAGAGAGACAGGGGGAGAGAGTAGGTGAGGGGGAAAGCCCCCCAGTGGGGTGTGGTCATGCAGCAGCCTCTTTTCCATTCCTTCATCCTGTGGGGATTCGGGGCGAGCACACATGTGCCTGAAAATCATTCACTCATTCATTTATTTTTAAGATTTCTGCCATAGGGCATGTGTGCACACTGAAGAGAAACATACAGTGAGAGGGAGAGTAAGAAATCATTCTCCAGAACTAGCAGATGGCATACTGGTTACATCACTGGACTTTCATGTGGTTTGAGTCCCAGACCCAGTGGCTTAAAACTCATGCCGGGCATGTGTGTGTGTGTGTGTGTGTGTGTGTGTGTGTGTGTTTGTGTGTGTGCAAAATTCCAAGGAGATGGAGAATGGAGTAGAAAGTGTTGAGGCTTAGCTCTCCCTCCTAGGAGGGTTATTTCTCACTGTTGTCTTTTTGTGTCTCTGGCAAGCACACATGCTGTATAACAAAAATCTCTCTAAAAAATAAAAGAAAGAAATCACTCCCCAGATGGATGGCCATACCATAGTCCCTTCTCCATTCTCCTCCTGGGACTTTGGGCATGCATGCACATGTACCTGGTCTGATTTTCAAGCCCCTGGATCTGGTACTCAATTTACGATCAGCCATGTGGGATCCAGCACCTTAACCACTATGGCACCTCCTGGTCCCATGCCTGGCATGTGTTTTTTTAAGCCATCAGGGTAGTATTCGAACTGTCTCTGTCTTTCTGGCGAGCGCACGTGCATTATAGGAAAAACCTCTAAAAATATATAAATAAAAATAAATGAATAAATAAAAAAAAATGTGGCACCCAGAACTGACTGGAACTCAGCAGCTGAGGTCTCTCCAAAGGGAGCATTATTTACCCGAGTGGAACTTTATACTTCTGGAAAGAAACCCAAGATGGTGTTACCTTCCTTAGGAACCTCAACCCAACTCATTCAGTGTCGGTTTAGTCCCAGCTCCCTCAACCACCAGGCCACCAGGCCAGCCCTAAGGCAAACTTTTTTTTTTTT